CCCCGCCCCCCCGCTGTGGTGGGGGTGGGGGGGGGGCTTTGTGGGGGGGGGGCATCTGGCATGAACAAGAGAGCATCGGGGCTAGAGAGCAAGGGGTCGTGGAGATTATTCGTGTTTTTTCACAGGGTGCGGGCGGGTGTGGGGGGGTCAGTTTCAGTGTAAGGCCGGTGCACTTACACTGTGTGCTGATAAACTGGAAAGGGCTGCTCTGGCTCTCTGGCACCATGCGGAAGATAGACGGGGCCCTCTGGTGGCGGGAAGGCCAATGACTGCCATTGTATCGCCTGTGATTATTCTCCTCGACACAAAGGCAGAGCCGACGATCCAGCCTAATGCTCAGCTCCCGGAGGCTCCTTCTCTCTCATCCTCCCTTCCAGCCAAATCTGATGAGCTGGCAGGCCGGCAGGACCGCAGCAGTCGCATGAAAAGGACCGCAGGACCGCGGCTGATTCCCACGCAGACGCGGCCTGTTCATGTGGCTCGGCAATCGCACAGGTTCCCACCAGACCTTAATGGACGTGGGAATTTTTTGCAGCAGGTGTGACTGTTTCCCTTCTGTCCCACACCAGGAGAAAGAAAAAGGAATGAGGGAGAAAGAGAGAGAGAGAACAAAACTACCAGGATTCTTGCCTTTTTTTTAACAGAAAGCAAAGCCAATGCAAAACGAAATTAAAATGAAATTGAAATTGGACCTAATTCCAAGCAGCACATATACAAACAGCACCCCCTTGTTGCTGAATCTCGTGCTGCCGGCGCTGAGTGCATTCATAATGCATTAATGCTCATTGGCTCCATCTATACTAGCTGATTTTAATTAATCTGCAAATGTGTGGGATACAGCATATCAGGGATTTCCACCATTCGGGGCTCTCGTGAGAATAATCCTGCCCACTACACCACGTGCAGAGCAAACAAACCCCATTACTGCTTTATTATATTACACATACTTTTCTTTGTAGTTTTTTTTTTTTTTTTGTCGACAAAGTACATTTTATACTTATTTATATTTACCCTTTGAAATGGTTCAGATGAGTCGGTATGCGTATTGACCGTAGGTTTATTTCGCTGAATAGGCCACTACCTGCCCCACTTTGGGGTATTTTAAATACCCCTTATCCCGCTGTATGGAGAGACATGGAAGCAGCCTGAACTTCTGTGATGATGCTTTATTTAGAAATATGCTGAAGGAGAGGAGCACTGCTGTTTGTGGGTGTGAGTAAGGCAAGTGTGTTCTTACCAGAGGGAAGAGGATGTGAACAGGGGTCTGTGTGTGGGTTAGAACATATAAGAGATTTACAAACGAGAGGAGGCCATTCGGCCCATCAAGCTCGTTTGGGGAGAACTTAACTAATAGCTCAGAGTTGTTAAAATCTTATCTAGCTCTGATTTAAAGGAACCCAGGGTTTTAGCTTCCGCTACACTAGCAGGAAGACTATTCCATACTCTGACTACATGCTGTGTAAAGAAGTGTTTTCTCAAATTAATTTCAAAATGTTCTCCCGGTTCTAGTATTTAAACTAATATTGAAATAGCCATTTGGCTGAACAGCATCCATACCTGGATCATGTCCCCCCTTAGTCTCCTTTGCTCAAGGCTAAACAGATTCAGCCCAGCTAACCTCTCATCATAAGACATTCCTCTAAGACCAGGAATCATTCTTGTAGCCATACATTGAACCTTTTCCAAGACAGCAATATCCTTCTTAAGGTATGGTGACCATACCTGCACATAATATTCTTGGTGGGGTCTTACCAAGGAATTGTATAATCGTAGCATTACCTCCCTTGACTTAAACTCCACACACCTAGAGATGTAACCCAACATCCTATTGGCCTTTTTAATCGCATCCCCACACTGGCGAGAGTGGGACATGGAAGCATCAACATACACACCAGCTACCTTTATTTCTGTGGAACCCATAAAATATCTGTACTTTATATTTCTGCTCCCTGCATGGATTACAGTACCTTACATTTATCTACGTTAAATTTCATCTGCCAGGAATCAGCCCAGTCACTAATTAAATCAAGATCCCGTTGTAGCCTCTATGCTGCTAGTTCATTCCCCACAATGTGATAAAACCCTGTTATTTTGATATTGTGGGGACCAACTTTGCTGTCCCTCAAGGGAAAACTCAGTTTTGTAAAAATCTCTGACTGCAATCAAAAAACCAAAAATGCCAAGAGTCTTGGATGATTACTTTTGGTTAGGCTTAGTCTTAAGGTTGTTATAGTCAGAATTACAGTTTTTCTCATAAAATTTAATGGACAATCCTGATAAAGATACAAATTCTTACTTGAGAAGTGGTATGGCGCTTAGGGGGCATGAAGATTTTGGTTACCCAGAACGCACCTCTCCCTTTTCCTTTGTCGGCCCATTTTTTCTGCAGTTCTTCCTGTTTGGTGGCCAGGAACACCTCACCTGGGTTTCCTGGTTAGACGCAGGACATGGATCTTGTGAACCATCCTCGGAAGTGAGGGGGCCATGAGTGTACGGGCCATGGGGGCCACGATGACTATACAGGGTGCCGGAACACCTCCAGGGCGGAGGTGATGTCATCAGGGAGACCAGGGCCCAGCCCTCCTTTTTGGATTGTTCTCTGTATGTTGTGCCCCTTCCCTCCTTCCAGGGCACTTGAGAACTTGTCTTCCTTCAAGCGAAGGTGACTTCCACCCGTCAGCTGACCCGGTGACCCTCCTCTATGGTGTAATTCTCAGTCTGCCCCCCCTAGAGTCCCCTGGGGACAGGTTCTGTTTCCTGAATAAGTAAACATGTCCAGGGCTGGCGTTACTCAGGTGTCCGCTTGTTTATGGTGCTACCTGGAAGCCAAGGGCACGGGCACTCCCTCTGCCCGCCAGAGGTGACTCTGAATGACTGGCGGGTCGATACCGTCGCTATGAATGGAGGGCCCAACTCTCCCCATTACATTACGTTCACGTCTTGGCAGACCTGCCCTTTCTTTTACTGAAAAAGACAGTTTCCCTACCCTTTTGCCCGATGCCACTTGGAATAGGCTCTCTATTGCCCCCTACAGCCTTGTACTGGATAACCGAATGGCAAAACTGACAGATGGAGACATACAGTTGGGTTCCCAAGGAAGGTGTTGGGATATAGAGTCTTGATTTGTTTAATTCGCAGCTCATGTGAATATGTGCAGTTCGGCTCAGCAGGAAAGAAATGTGATGGTGTTTACACAGGCACTGTGTCCCGTCTCGCCGTATGTTTGGGGTTAAGGCCATCAGCCTGTATAGAGGCTTATGGTCCAGAAACACCGTAGCGTGGACCCAAGGAGCCGGCTGGTTACTGAACACCAAAGCTCCTGCTTTGCATGTTGTGTGTAACTACTCATGGCAATCAGACCTGCAAAAATGACCATCAGGCATAAAATCCCAGCAAAGCTGCCCGTTATTTACACACGCAAATGTGAGCGACTCCTACTTCTGCGGAACGCCGGTCTCTCCGTGACTGTGGCCTTGTCCCCAAGTGAGCTGCTGCATTGGGGCTTCAGACAGACCCTCAGGGCGGTTAGCAGAGGGGGCTGGGAGTCACGAAAATGCATTAAAGCACAAATAAGTAATATGTGACAAGGACAGACCTTGAGAGTGAAATATGAACAATCGGTGAAGGTTTATACCCACAGTTTGCAAAGTCCCCCCCTTGAGTGATTTACTTCTGGGTTCTGAAAATATCACTACGGATCAGAGGTTCTGAAACCGAGCCCAGTGGGACCAGTTCGTTTCTGATCCAATGAACCCGTCCTTAATTAGACTCGATAGCTGCTGATTAATTCTGACTGCAATTTGTCTTGATTTGTAATTAATTCTTTTTTTTTTTTTGGAACTGTGTTTATACTGGTAAGAAAACTTTCAAAGTGTACTTTTTCAGCAATTTCAATTTCACAGTCCAGGTCAGTTACTCGATAGCCAGATGGCCCCGAGCAATTAAGTAATTGGATGGCACGTTTATTCTAAATTAGTTTGGGGTCCGTTGGTACACCAACCAAGTGAGAAATAATGAGCTGGACTGTCCACTCCATGGCTCCCATGATTCTCTGAGGCCTGTAACTCAGTAGGTGCATCTAGGTCAAAATTTCAGCACAGCTTAGCTGCATTAACTGTGAGACGGGTCATACATGAGATGACGTGTTATTTGCCATTTGTACACTAGATTGTACATGCGAGTGAAGTTTGGGGTCTGAGCATAAGCTCAGCTGTACATGGCGGCGGTGGTAACAGAGATGAGCCTGGGATTCAAACCTGTGATCTTCTGAGTTCTAACCCACAGAGCACATCCCAAAGTCAGAGCTTGGTGATGTTTATCATACTGCACCAGCTCTTTTAATCACATCGTTTACTGGATATTCGTCCTGGTGCCTCTTGGCCCGCTTGTTACGGCTGAGTGCTTCACCGCAGCTGTTCAGTTTTAAGTACTTCGTCAAGGACACAGTTCCTGTGCCCCTCCCCCCCCCCCCCCCCCCATCGCCCAGGCATGCCAGGGTACCTGCTGGGTTGCACTGAGAGTCTCTCTCTGACTGCTCTGCATCGCACCGATATGGGATCAGTACAGCATGCCGTGTGACATGTGACTCGTACTGGTTGGAGGTTCCGGCCTTCTGTCGTTGCACAGGAGTGTTTCTCTCCTGGAGCGGCAGGGGGCTGCAGGGGGCGGCAGGGGGCTGCAGGAGGCGGCAGGGGGCTGCAGGGGGCTGCCCTCCTGACCCAGACTGCTCCATTTGTAGTGGGATAGGGCTGGTGCAAGGACCGTCCTCACCGGCCTCGTGGCTGATGTCAGCAGGTCATGGGGTCCCATCCCGGTGTGTCCCTCGTGGTCTGTACGCCTCACCACCTGAATCACTGACCTCCCTCTGGCCGCCGTGTCGCAGGGACAACAACTTCATCAAGGACTTCCCCCAGCTGGCTGACGGGCTGATGGTGATCCCCCTCCCGGTAGAGGAGCAGTGCCGGGGCGTGCTGTCGGAGCCAATGGCCAACCTGCAGCTCCTCACAGGTGGGCGTGTGCATGCGTGGCTGTGTGTGTATGCGTGGGCGTGTGCATGCGTGGCTGTGTGTGTATGCGTGGGCGTTTGTATGCGTGAGTGTGTGTATGCGTGGGCGTTTGTATGCGTGAGTGTGTGTATGCGTGGGCGTTTGTATGCGTGGGTGTGTGTATGCGTGAGCGTTTGTATGCGTGGGTGTGTGTATGCGTGAGCGTTTGTATGCGTGGGTGTGTGTATGCGTGGGCGTTTGTATGCGGGTGTGTGTATGCGTGGGTGTGTGCGGGTGTGTGTATGCGTGGGTGTGTGTATGCGTGGGTGTGTGTATGCGTGGGTGTGTGTATGCGTGGGCGTTTGTATGCGTGGGTGTCTGTGTGTGCGGGTGTGTGT